ATTTTCTTACTTTCTCCTCTTGATTATTAATTCTTCCCTTAATCTCATTCTATATTAATGTTGGAGGGTGGCTAAGTGACAATTAGTTAACGTTCCGATATTGATTATTACTAGGAACGATCAACGAACCGATGGTTAAACGTTGATGGTTTCACAAGTAAGTAACTTCGGTTTATTAATGCACGGTCGTGGTTAATAAACTTAAGAGGGATTAATTTTGTTGGTTAAACCGAAACCGTTGTGTTGAGGTTATCAATCTCAATTGATTTCATCAAGGAGTTAAAGAGGTTAAATGCTACTATTAAACCGGTATACGGCGTTGTTCTATATTTTGGTTAATAGTAAGGGTTATTAATGAACGGTCGTTGTTAATAACTACCCTCGATGAATTGGATATACTCCTCGATTGAGTATTCGAGAGGGGATAAGTTATAGATATAACAATGATCGACTAAAATATATCAACAAGTGGAAAGTAGCAAGACCAAGTCCCTTTTATTCTTGAATTTAATCCCATATAACTCGTTCATCTTCGTGTTTTATTTAATTAAATCACTCAACAATACCAAAACCCCCCTTTTATTTACTAGTTCATAAAAAGAGAATTATTCCTTTCCCTGTGGATACGAACTCTACTTCACTATACTACGTATTAGTGCTAGTATCGATTTATTTTGAGTGCACTCACGACAAAGTGCACGTCACTGCTCCAAGGAAGTAAACGCCTCGTCCGCCGAGGCAGCCTTCTTCTCGGCCTCCCGGAGGCGAGCAATCTCCTCCTCCTGCCGGCGGTGCTGCTCCATCAGCATGAAGGCACCCTGCAAAGAAAAGACCAAAGAGTCAGAGAAGGAAGGCAAGGCAAGGAAAAACTAAGTATAAGATTAAAAACCTACTTGGACGATGTAGTCCAACCCGCCATCAAAAAGGCGCACTTCTTTGCCTTGCCGGCGCAGATACGCCCTATCCTCATCGGGGATGGCTTGAAACAAGACGTCGTGGCCTGAGACTTTCTCGTTGAATAGTCCACCCTTAGTCGGGTACCGCACCGTCACCTCATAGAGGCCGTTGGTTGGGTCGCGGACGGAGCGAGTGCCTCCCCGGGCAACGGCACCTGAAAGAGACACGGGGACTAGAGCAGCCGACACCTCGGTCAGAGTCAGGTCTTCGATCACCTGAACCTCAGGGACATTTTCCCCTGGCACAGAAGCCTGCGCAACGTCCGCAGCGACACCACTAGAGGCAGGGTTTTGCTTCGTCTTCTTGGCCCTTGGGCCGCCTTCAATCCCACCTCGGCCAAAGTCTGCTGGCCTTCCTCCGGCTTCTTCTTTCTCTTCACCGACGGTTTTTTTTGCCGCATCGGCTTTGTCCTTCGCACCGTCAGCCGAGCTCTTGGACGCTTCGGCCTGCTGTGCAGCCTGCATCTCCTTGTCTACCATCTTCTTGGCCTGGGTCATGAACAACTTACGGCTCATGATGAAATCTGCAGATGCAAGAAACAAAAGAGTTAGAGAAATAAGCAAAGCAAATCATAATGGAGCCCAAAGAAAGAAATCAACCTTCGACATCGGCCAGAACACCATAATAGGGCCCGTCGGCCTGCTCAAAATAGCCAGATATCTTCGGCCATAATCCGCAATCAGGGTCGCCGGGGATATAGTACCGTATCATCCCGAGAGCGGCTATCTTGAACTCGGTGATGTAAGTGTTGACGCTCCGCGGCCCACCCTTTAGGAACGCCTCCACCTGAGCATCAATCTTAGGGCTCTTTGGTGGGTTGTGCAAATTAAAAATGCCGTTGTGCCCTTGGGAGGGGAAGAACACCCCATCGGCCAGTTTCACAAAACAAAACTTACTCTTCCACCCATGAATGGACGACGGGAGGTCAGTAAAAGATCTCTTCTTTGGCAACTGCTGGAGGGCCGCATACCCAGCACAGTTCTCGTGGCTGCCCCGGCCGATCCGGTACAAGTTTGTGAACAACGCCGTCGTCGGCTCAATTCCAAGCTCATCGCATCGGATGAGGAACCCGACAATAAGGGAATAGCTGTTCGGAGTTAGTAAGGCAGGTGGAAGGTCTATCATGTGGAGATACTCCACGACGAACGGATGAAGAGAGAACCTTAAACCCTGGGAGAAGCTCATCGGATACACTCCGAAGTAACCAGGAGGTGGATCCAGAACGTGGTCCGTCGGCCTCGGTGCCCTAACCCTCCCATAAGGCCCGACGTAGAGCTGTGCCACCTGATATTCACCTTGGGAGCCCTCCGGCTTTATGATATAAAGGTTCGTCAAATCCAGCTGCGAAAGACTACTGGATAACCCCTTCCGACGACGCGACTTACGCTTCTTGGGATTGGAGGAAGACGAAGCGACACCAGGGACCGAAGTAATTGGGGGAGGGCAAGGAATAGCGGACGAGGATGCATCACCCGCATCGTCGCCACGGAATTTGGGGTCGGAGCTCGCTTCGTCCTCACCAGAGGGTTGAGAACCCGCATCGGCACTCAGACGCTCCTCGTCCACAGAGGTGCGGTAATCCGCAGTGTTCTCCATCTCGATCTCGAAAGCCTCCACCACTCTTAGATCAACCCCAGGGGATGTGTCCTCGTCGTCAAAGGGTCAATCAGACTCGTCCAATGAAACTGTTAAGTCAATAGGGGAGGGAACGCGACGGCCGTCAGGGAACGGCATAACAACTATCGCTACGTCCTAAGGGTAGTTTTCGGATCAAAGTGACTTTCCTAAAGAACACTAGATCTAACACCCTAAGGAGCAAAATATGAAGAAATCAAAGGAAAATTTAAGTATCTAACCTTTGAAGATTCGAAGAATGTGACGAACACTTGGGAATTCTCAGGACTTTCTCTCTCTAGGAAAACTTGGGCAGCAATTCGACAACAGCAAAAGAACAAATGAGGAAGTGGCTTCGGGGTTGGGGGGTATTTATAAGAAACCTTCCAACGGTCATTACACGGCGCCACCCCATTGGCTCCACCAACGGCCACCTCTCCTCCAACCAATCAAGAGGTACCAATTCAAAATCACTCATGCAAGTACCCCTACGGCCCAACTCAACCTTACAGAGAACAAGGTATCGGCCGAGTGCCGCTGCGGCCCAATTACTACAAAGCTCCAAAGCAGGCATCGGCCCATACTTCCGAAAAAAGGAACGCATCGACCTAAACTCTACGTCCTCATAACGACCCAAAGAACCTTAATAGGCCGATACGGCCGCTTATGCGCGCATCGTTGATGATGATCCTGGCATTGCGACCTTCGTCCAATGGTTCTCCCACAGGGTTACCTTGGACAGGTTCGCCTAAGGGTTGGAGTCGCGACTAACGCATAGGTACCCCATCGGCTCATTACTCCCTTGTGCCTCAGATACTCTTCGGCCAAAGGAGTGGGGGACTGAGGGACTGTATCGGCCACAAGAAAAGGAAACGCAACGGCCCTGATGCAAGAGGGTGCGCTACGGCTCATCAACAACAAAAGACGAACAATTCACCTCAGCGAGTCGCAACGGCCATAGAGCCCAAAAATCAAAAACCCAAAAAGCAAGATCCAGCGCGCAACGGCTGCGTCCACTGGGGGGGACTGCGTCGGCTCACCATAGCGAGAACCCACAAGTCAAAAACGCTTCGGCTGCATGGCAAGTCAAAGGCATGCATCGCATCGTCCACATAGACGGAATCAGCCATCTTCACTTCATAAGACAAGGTTATCGTTGCGGCCAAAAAGTTATGAAGGAGCTCTTCGGCCCCAACAAATGACAAAGAAACGGGCCAGTTCATCCACACCAAAATTCGCATCTACGGAAAGGAGAACGTATCGCTTCGTCCTAAAAAGCACTCCCACGGGGAGCGCATCTGCCAACTTCAAGGTTATGAATCCCCAAGGGCGCTTCGTCTCCATCAAATGAAGAAACCCCTTCGTCTAAAAATCAAAGCAAAACCCCTTCGGCCACCAAGCACCTTAGGCTCACGCGACGGCCAGCCAGAAAGGAACAAGTACTCCCTTTCGCTTCGGCTTCACCTCAGCTCAGAGAGTGGGGGACTCCTGATAGAGTATATGGGCCTAGACCCCATGGCCCACATACTCAACGGCCCAAAAGACACCAGCAGGACACCCGCATCGGCCAAAGGCACACAAAAGTCCAAGAAAGAAGATATCGCCTAGATCCTTGGGCAAAACCCAGGATCCGCATCGTCCGTGGACCGCATCGTCCAGGACCGCATCGTCCGGACTTCGTCCAGGCAGAATGTATTTTTCACTGTATTTACTAAGTATTGTACACAGCCCATTAGTGGCCTTATTTCGCCCAAAGAAGGCATGGTTATTGTAATGGGCCTCCTAAGCCCAAAGCTAGGGGCCCAAATCCACATTTTTTACCTATAAATAGACCCCAAGGGGCTAATTATAGGGGGTTCCAAGTTGAGAAATATAATTACTCACTTTCTCTCTCTAGCTCTCACTTCTCTCTAGAATTAATACTCTATCTGAAAAATGATGGATCTATATTTTTTCCGTACTTGGTAGCTATAGTAATATAATATTATTATATAATATTAATAAATTTTTTATAAATTTGGGGCCCATACATTTGAGGGGCTCGTTCTGGATAACCCATTGAACCCCTGTTGTTGTCGGTCTAGCAGAGTCATACTGCGTGCCATATACCCATATACTACTAAAGTACTAATTAATAGAGTAACAATCAATTATTCATTTATATTTCTAAGCCATCTGCCATAGTGCCGTAGTGCAATATAATAGAATTCTCCCGATAATACTCAAAATCTTAAGACATCACGTGTTTCATTATAGGGAAAAGGACCAAAATTGACACCAAGGTTTTTAATGAATCTCGTATATGACACTGAGGTTTATGATGGACCAAAAAAACACAAAATAAAACCTTTACCTTAACTATTAACCACCCTCTAACTGGCCCGTTAAACATCCGTTTCCCCCTAACAAAACGCCCATTTCCCCGCGTGAAAACATAGAACCCCAATTTCAACCCTAAGTAAAATTTGTAGGCCTGTAAATCGCACTCAGTGGAGAAGATAAGAGGCTGATGGACTGCAATTTAAGATTGCAAAGCTGAAGAACTCCGTTGAAACACTCTACTAAGGTATTCCGTTCCTGTAACTTTCTGTGTAAAAATGAGTGGGTTGGTCAACTTGAGGTTTAACCATAGCGGGAGGTGGCTGTTGAAGCCTTTACAGTACGTGAATGGGGATGTGGATACCATATATGGATTTGACCCTGACTATTTGTGTTATCATGACATAGCTCGAAAATATAAGGATGATTTGGGTTTTAAAACTCTAAAAAACATTTATGTGTTAGAACCTGGAAAAGACATGGAAAATGGGCTGTTTTTAGTTCAAGATGATGACATGATAAGGAAGGTGCTTAATCGTATTAGAAACTTCTCTTGGATTGATGATATAGAACTGTTTGCTGATCATCAACTGGATGAACCACTTCTAATTCCCCTAATAGAAGGGATTAGTGTGACAGACCACAATGGTGACAACCTGAATGATGAAAGGCAAAATGGGCTAGGATCTGATGGTGGCAGTGAACATGGTAGAGACCCAAGTGAAGTTTGTACTGGTGGTGTCCCAAATGGGTATCAAAGTGATCAAGACTGTAATGGAGGAGATGAAGAGGAGGAGGTTGAGAGCAACCAATCTGAGGACTCCTCAGATGATGAGGCCACCCAGAATTATGGTGTGAATGATGGATCTGGGAGTTTCATGAATGGCATGACTTTTGAAGATGTGAAAGAGGCTAGAACAGCAATAGCTAATTATGGAGTCAAATTTGGGTACAAGCTGAAAATAAAACCAAATGAGACAAACCGTTTGGCTGTTAAATGTCTGAATGAGGAGGGATGTCCCTTCAGACTGTGGATATCTAAAGATGGCAAGAACAAAGGCTTGGCAGTAAAGGTTTGTAATCCTGAACACAAGTGTTTCAGGCATTACTCAATTCCAAGTGCTAGCCAGAAATGGTTAGCAAATTATTTCAAAGGTCACTTGGAAAAAAATCCTAACTTCAGAGTTGCAGATATGAAAGAGGAGGCTGAAAAGAAATTAAAGATAAATGTCAGCCTCTACAAATGCAAAAGAGCAAAGAGACTGATTACCCAGGAGATGGATGGGAGTTATAAGGCTGAGTTTGGATATTTGGAGGCTTATGCAGCGACTTTAAAGAGAAGTAATCCCGGTTCTAAAGCTGAAATAGAATTATGTAGTGCTGAATTGAAAGAAGGAAAGAGAGTTTTTAAGAGAATGTTTATATGTTTTGCTGCTTTGAGGCTGAATTGGCTGGCAGGTTGCAGGAGAATCATAGGGGTTGATGGATGTTTTTTAAAGGGAGTGTCTAGGGGGATCTTGCTGAGTGCAGTTGGAGTGGATGGAGATGGACAAATGGTTCCTATAGCATGGGGTGTAACTGACAAAGAGAACAAGTCCAATTGGAGGTGGTTCCTAACCTGGCTTGTTCAAGAACTAGATCTGAAGACTGGTTCTGATTTAACCCTTATCTCAGATATGCAAAAGGGGTTAATCATAGCAGCTCAGGATGTGATCCCAGATGCAGAGCACAGGTTTTGTGCTAGACATGTGTACGCAAATTGGTCTAAGAAATGGAGAGGTGACCAGTTCTGTAAGAAATTCTGGATATGTGCATGGAGCACATATGAAGAAGAGCTGCAAAACAACTTAAAAAGGCTTGGAAAATTGAGTAATGAAGCTGCTTCTGATGTTTTAAAATATCCTATTCAAACATGGTGCAGAGCATACTTTAGTAGCCAAAGCAAGTGCTGGATGGTTGATAATAACATCACAGAGTCATTTAATGCATGGATCAGAGAAGCTAGGGCAAAACCCATTGTGAGTATGCTGGAAGATATACGCTTGAAGGCAATGAAAAGGCTTTCTGATTTTAAGGGAAGTCATGAGAAGTGGATAAATGATTGGTCTCCCACATGCATGGAGTACTATCAAGCTAATAAGGAGGCTGCCACAGGATGCAATATCATTTTTAATGGTGATGTGGGCTTTGAGATTGGAGAGGGTGAAGATAAACACACAGTGATGTTAGATAAATTGATTTGCACTTGCAGAGCTTGGGAATTAACTGGAATTCCTTGCTTACATGCCTTGTGTGCATTATACTATAAGAAGGAAGATTCCCTTTCTTACATATCCAGGTGGTACCATAAAGAAACATACATGGGAGCTTATCAATACCCTTTGCAACCTGTCCCCGGCAAGGCTTTCATGAAAGTGGATGAATATGAACCTATTCTACCTCCCCCAGTTCCTGACTTACCTGGCAGACCAAAGAAGAACAGAGTTAGAGGCTCAAATGAGGTCAAAGGCCCTGGTAGTGGTTCAAAAGTGGTTGATAGTACATCATCCCATAGAGCTTCAAGAAAAGGACAAATCCAAACCTGTGGAATATGTCATCTAGAGGGGCATAAGAGGGCAAAATGTCCTAATAAAGACATACCTGTAAGTTACAAATTACTATTTGGGAGTTATAAGTCTGGTTTTATCATTATTCTGTGTTTCATATTTATGATGATTGATTCTGATTAGGTAACAAATGAATCAAGGGAACAGGCTACTCCTGCAACTGGGAGTACACAACCTGTAAGTTATACATGGCTTTTTCAGTAGACATAAAGATTGTTATTATGATGGTTTATGTATGTTTGATTTGTGATGATTGATTAAGCTACATATTTCAGTGACTCTAAATAGGAAATTGATTATCCTTATGACTAATTGTATAATTTATCTTTCTATGTTATTTCTGAGGAGTTAATATGATTCATATTCATATATATTAATGTTGTTATTAGGAAAATAATGAATCAAGGGAACAACCTACTCCTGCAACTGGGAGTACACCTGGTGGTGTGAATCAAAGGAAGAGACCAGCATCTGTGGAAGAAAGTGATTCCCGAAATGGTAAGTCCAAACTTCCATGTAGAAGAATGGCCAGGTCTAAAGGTAAACAACCTGTCACAGGATTTGGGTGCTATGTTGATGTCAACACTGGTTCAAAGACAATAAATGTGAGTTCATGTTCCTAAAAAATATGTAATTTTAGTGAAACTGCAGTTCTGGTGTGTTATTCAACCTGTCATAGTTAATGTACCTAAAGTGATGTCTTATGTTGGATGCAGCCTGGGATGGATAGTGAAGAACTTGTTTCTGAATTCAATCATGAGGTGGCACATGACCCTGATGTGAATGTCAGATTTGCAATTCCAAATGAGAAGGAAATTAGAAGTGCTGGTAGATTTGCAAAGGATATTGATGTGCCTGCATATAGAACAATAAGTTTCAAAGGTGATGGAGCTCAAGTCAAAAAACCTACCAACCTGCCCTTTGAACCACCTGGTTTGCAATGGAAGGGAAAGAAAGCTATCAGCACAAGAGAGTTGTTAAACAAGACCAAAATGAGGAAGCAATCTGCTGTGAGGAAGGAATCTGCTGCACATGGTGATGTTGGTCAACCACCACTTTAAATGCTTGGAAGGAAAACACATGAAAGCGGAATGAAGACTTCAATGTTGTAATTAAAATATTTTTGCCCACTTGGATGTTATTATAGCTGTCAGTTTTTGGGGTAGTAGGTGACAACATTAACTATTGTACTTGTGTCAAGTTGACCAAGTCATAGGCTTTTTTTGGAGTGTTAAATTGGGGGTAGACTTATCCTTTTGAATTTTGTAACCTCTTTAACAACTCGTAATATTACCTGTAATGATAACAAGTATTTATATAACATCTTATATGTTTGGTGTGATCCAGGTTCATTAAGTTATTATTAGGTGGTTTTTGTTGATAATATTACCTGTAAGTTTTAATGAACTTGGTTTATAACAGCTCTGGTATAACAATACTTACTAAGAAGACCTGGTGGAATGAAGACCTCATGTTAAACATGTCTTCATTAGGTCTGGTATTGGTTTTGGAATACATTAGATTTGGTGTTTGGAATTTGAGGTCTCGTATTTGGTGTTGGAATTTCAGGTCTGGTATGTATTGGTATTTGGGGTTGCAGGTCTTCTATAACACAATAAAGAAGACCAGGTTTCATTTTGGCAGAATAGGTCTGGTATTTGGGGTTGCAGGTCTTCTATAACACAATGAAGAAGACCAGGTTTCATTTTGGCAGAATAGGTCTGGTATACTACCTAAAAATACCTCATGTTTTGAGCAATATAGACCTCCATTTGTTTTGACAGAACATGTCTTTTTTCAGCTAACATAACCTCAGGTCTTTTTCCAGCTGAACACTTGTATAATCAAAGAATAAGATAGGAAACACACAACAATTAACACAAATGAATTCCAAATACAAAGTCATTTCATACTAATGTTAAACCAAATGCATACATACTAAAGAAGCTACTCCATTGTCCATCAATGATGGTAAAGATTACAACAGAATACTTTTTACATGATTAACCTAAAATCATACATATGAGTACAACAAGGGCACAGAACATCAATACAATCACATAATTCCTCTTCAAATTTGCTCCTCTATGTAACTCCAAATGTTCTGCAATCTCTGTACGGTTAAGCTCTTGAACCTCAAATTCCATGTTTTGTTTAAAGGTATGCTCATATTCTGGAATTGGTGTTTCATCAAACTCCCCACCTGCAGTTATGGCCTCGCCTGCACGTATGGCCTCCTCTAGTCTCATTATTGTACTGTGAAGCCTTCTATTCTCTATTTTTAGATCATTTATAACATGCTTGGCCCTATCAGTTAGAGGTTCATCATACCACTCAAAGAACCCACAACCATCCTTCTGCAGACATTAATACGAAAAACATCAAAATGAGATAAATGACACCATTTTAAAATTTTCATAATTAAATACCTCATAAAATGGGCAACCATAAAACCGTCTCCCTGGATTTTTATCAGTCCATGAAGTCCAAACTCGAGCTTTCACAGGGATTGCAGTTCGAATCCTACATTTACAAAACCTCGCCCCCCACCATATTGCGTCTCAATATTCGTTCCACACTGGACTGAATCAATGGAGGATGATTTTTGTATCCCTGCAGACCTTGATGATGAAGACCTGTCTCCCATTGCTATGGTTTCCTCTGCACATACGTCTGCATAATAGGTTGGGGATAATGAAGTAGGGTTTGGGGATATAATTTTGGGGGGTCTTTTTATGCGCAGTGTTAGTCAAGGGGAAGGGGGAAACGGATGTTTAACGGGCCAGTTAGAGGGTGGTTAATAGTTAAGGTAAAGGTTTTATTTTGTGTTTTTTGGTCCATCATAAACCTCAGTGTCATATACGAGATTCATTAAAAACCTTGGTGTCAATTTTGGTCCTTTTCCCTTCATTATATACGGTATCGTCAAAAAAAAATTAGGAAAATTCTTGGTGTACACTTTCTTATACACATCAGTACACCCCATTGTTTGTGAGAGAGTTTTTTGTCTGTGAATGCCAGTTCACAGACAAAACCTGGCTCGTTTTGTCTGTAGAATATTCCACACACAAAACAAGCCAGGTTTTGTCTGTGAACTGGCATTCACAGACAAAAAAAAACTCTCACAGACAATGAGGTGTACTAATAACGTGTATAAAAACGTACAGGGCCGGCTCAATGGATTAGGAGACCCGGTGCAATTCACGTAAAATAGGCCTTATATTAAATAAATATAATATAAAAAGCAACCTTTAAAAAAGAACCCCAAAAAGACTACAATCAAATGTGACATTGAGATATAATCGTATTACGAATCTGAACAACCAAAATTGGTAAAAAAAAAAACTAAAACTGAAAGTAAATGAATTAAATTCATGAACTAAAAAATATAGAGTATGATATTACTGAAAAAACTACTCCATCCGTCTCTTAAAACCAAGCTCGTCCAAACTGTACGGGGAATTTGTGCTAATTACTATATATAACTAGGCCTTATCTAGGCCTTATGTAATAAAGAAGTTGCACATTAATAATTAACAATTGCATTTTAATTACGTATAAATATTAGTATTTAATGTTTGTATTTAAAAACAAAATACTAAATAGGAATCTTTAATCAAATAAAAAAGGATTTTGTATATTATGTAGACTATATTTAAAATTTTGGGCCCTCTGAATCGAGAGGCCTTGTGCGGTAACACTTCTTGCACGCCCTCATCTACGGCCCTGAAAACGTATACAAAAGGAATTTTTGAAAAAAATATATACGGTCATACGGAGTATTAGTGAAATAGAGATACAGAGAGAAAGCGTGCAGGTCATAGGTCGGACACTTTACAACTCCACCCAAGCGACAAAGGAATCGACGTCATCACCGTCGGCGACGGCGCCGCCATGACTCCAGTCTCCAGGCTTTAGTCCCCTGCCTCCACGCTCGCAGCTCGTTGCCCTCCAACCTCCAGGTTTTCTGACACCTGATTTTCTCTTGTTAATTACAAATTAGGTTATTATTTATTTTATGAAGTTATTATCAAATTAAACTAATTGTATTTAGCAAATTGTAATAACACTATGATGACCGCACACTATAACCAAGTATAGTACTATCGTATGTTGTTAGGTTTTTGGGTTAAATATGTAATGTATAGTCCTTAACCCAAAATTAAATTAACTTTCAATTTAAAATCCGTATGGGATTAGTGAATGACTTCAATAATTTATTATCACTAGAACTACTGTTATTTATTTATTTGGTGACAACTCCGGTACCTTCCTAAAAACATTGATACCGTACCTAGTTGATTGAACCATATCACTTTATCAATTTTAATTTAGATTTAAATAATTCAACTTTGGTCCGGACAAAGGTATAATACTTTATGGGTACCACATTAACTACCAATCTATTTATCTTGTATTTCTACTCGTCTTGGAATTAAAAGCCAATTTTTTTTGTAGCACATGGCCCGCATATTCTCGGGACCAGCCCTCCGACGACAGATCATCACACCCCCGGAAATCAACCGCGACATATTCCTAAGGTTGCCGCCCAAGTCTCTACTCCGATCCCAGTTTGTCTGTGAAGAGTGGCGCTCCCAGCGCACCCACGTCCGCAAACTCCGCCTCCTCGTCGTCCAAGTCCACCACCTCATCATCTCCTGGAGGCGCGAGAAAGGAACCAGCTTAACGGTGAGGTCAATAAACCATGATCTGGTTCCTTTCTCGCGCCTTCAACCGACATCCTCGCTCGGGGAGCCCTTACTCTTTCCCAAAGGAAAATACTTGAATTACGAAGAATCTTGGCCATCCCCTTTGTGCTCTTGCAACGGGCTTCTGCTTCTCAGGGCTGGAACAAATTTTCTGTTGTGGAACCCACTTTCTGGGTGGGGGCGGGGTCGGCATGTGCTTCATCATAGTGATCTCGACAGAGACTACTCAGTTCTCGCGGGGATGAGTTACGATGCCTCCACCGATGACTACAAGGTTGTCCTTTTACTTCGCCATTCTAGCGCGGATTACGGGTATGGCGGCAGGTTTGTTGAATTTGCCAGCGTGAGAACCAAAATGTGGAGACCCGTGACGTTCCCATATAACTTACGAACAGCCGAGGACGGTGTTAGCTTCCGCAATAGACTCCATTGGTTGGTAAGTGACGTCAAGCGTCTCCGAGACTTCGAACATGATGATGGCCATGAGGATTTTGCTAATCATTGTCCTTTTGAGGGTTGGGTTTGGGAAGACTTTTCCGAGTGCAATAAGATTGCTTATTTCGATCCCGTGGACGATGAGTTCAAAACATTGCCCTGTCCTTCCCCGTGCAACCCCGAAGAAGAAGACTCGATAGTCGGGTTGGGAATTATAAATGATTGTTTATGTATGGCTCGAAGGGATAACAAGAATCAAACCATTGAAGTGTTGATTATGAGAGAATACGGGAAAGGAGAATCATGGTTTAGACTATTTCACATCTATAGGTCCATATTTGAGGGAGGTGATCATTTTTATGGCCTCACATTCTTCTCTCCAGAAGAAAGTGCGAAAGTATTGTTCATTGTGCGTGGTTATCATAACGAAACAGCATATGTTTATGATCCGGTGGCGGGAGAAGACAAACAAGTTATGAAGGAGGATCTTGCACCGAATAGTTCTGGAGACGACACACTAGCTTGGTACATGTTTCTTTGTTGAAAGCTTTGCATCACGACCACAACATATGTTTCTTATTTTGTGTCGTGTGGCACATATGATCTATTATCCGAACCTCACATAGATGAAGTGCAGAATATTGATTTTTTTTTTACCCCGGAAGGCAAACCACCAAAATCAGTGAGGCAAATGTCGGGAGACGCTTGCCAGAGTGTTATTAGATAAAATAGAAGGTACAAAGGAGAGGGGGGCCAAATCAAAACCTCTCAGTACAAATAAACGATTCGAAAAATTGAAGAGAAATAAATCAGTAGCAAAAAAGAAACAACAAGATTTATAAACGCAAGACAGGGAAACCAAAGAGATCAACATAATAACTTTTCTTAACGTCGTCGGGTAATTGAGCCACCTGGTTAAAAACCATAGCTTGGGCCAGATCCAAACGAACAGATGCAAGCAAATGGGCCGGCCCATTCCCTTCCCGAAAAATATGTCCGAAACATAGTCCCTGCTGCGTTGCTTTTTCCCTGAACGTAGCAAACTTTCCTGATTCACCCAGTACAATAGCAATAGCCCGAGAGGGTAGGCATCACATTCAACTTCAACATCCGAGTAGCCCTCCTCCATCGCCAACTCAGAAGTGAGGATCAGGGATTGGAGCTCAGCCTCTTCACTGGACTCCGCGTTAATAACGAAGCTCGCCGCCCAAGTCATTCTACCAGAACGATCTCGCAGAATATTGATATTTTTTGTTTAAGTGGTAGCATAATTATTGTTCGTGTTAATTATTTCAATCTTAGTGTGAGATAATGCACTCCTCTTTTTATTTAAAGGAAAAATTGATATTAATAATCCCAACTATTGGCGGTCCGCTCATAATAATCCCAACAATTGATTATTACAGAATAATCCCAACTTTAGGGACCTTCCGCCAATAATGGTCCGTATGAATAAATTCTTGTAGTTTTTAAATTGGATGAGATGAGATATACTCCCTCCGTCCCCTTTTAAATGGGACGGGAGATGGTGGCACGGGTTTTAAGAAAAGCGAGTTTGTGTGGTTGATATTAATTGATAAAGTAAGAATAAAGTAAGAATGATTTTGAGCCACACAAAGTTTACCAAATAAGGTATGGGGCAATTAAATAGGAACATCCCAATATGGTAAAACGGGACATTTAAAAGGGGACGGAGGGAAGTAACAAGTAATCCCTATAAATAATCTCAACTTTTAATTTTTACGCTTAATTTCTATTTAGAATTCACTTTTTATAGAGGTAATATATGGTCATGGACCATTATTGGCGGATAGTCTATATAGTTGGGATTATACAAAAATAATCAATAGTTGGGATTATTTTCAGCAGACCGGCAATTGTTGGGATTATTATTTTCAATTTTTCCTTATTTAAATGAACATGTCCAAGATTGAACTTTTCAAATTTGATTTAATTAAATGTGTCTAAGATAACAACAACAGTAATAATAACAATAATTTAATGTTGAACTATTAAAATTTGATATATGAACAGATTGAGATGTTTCTAATCTAAATCTTTCGAATCTGATCCAATGTTTCTATTTTGATCGATTTGAATCTTTATTTTGTTTTCCTATTTAAATTTTCATTATGATATGCTTCTGAATATATGGGACAACACCCCTAATTGTCGAAATTATATATTCAGAATACAAAGTTAGATATGTATTATACCTAATGTCTGCTTGATGATACAAACGGACAATGAGAGTAATATATTTAATGAGAATATACAAAGTTCTAAAAATTAGTTTGTAACTCTCGGATTGTTTATAACTTGACAAATTTCATTTTCTGATAAATCAGATCAAACTTAAATAGACTTACACATGCAATTGTAAAATACACATACAATAGATATATATACCATGTCACACACAAGAGTAGATAAAAAACTTTTAGTCCAAATAAAAACATCTTAAACATTTTAAATAATTTTATGAATCGAGAGCCCAAAATATTGAGTACTCCCTCCGTATCAAATTAATTGACTCGCTTTCCTTTTTGGGACGTATCAAAATAAAAGTCCCATTTCCCTTTTTGGAAATAAACCCACCCAAAAAGCTGCTACAGTACTGCTACAGTACCGCTACAGTACCAAAACCTCCCACTTTACATATATTTGCCTTAAACTACGTGAAAAAGCATATGGGTCAATTAATTTGATACGGAAGGAGTAACTATCAGTAAGGATTTGAAAGGGGGAATGTGCAGATACAAGAACAGTGAAAACTATATATATGTACTACGTATATGTTAAAGGAAAAAGAAACAGATAAGGATGGAGAGATAGAAACTTTGAAATTTTGGGATTAGTCTATATAATATTACTCTTCCATAATTATTATTCTTTAATAGTGAAACTAGACGCATTATTTGTGCGATGCACATCTAGAGCAGAATAACAACTTGTTCAAAATTAACTTTTATTATGGTGGTACGTGTTATGAAATTATTTTAAATAATACTTCGTAAAATATAATAGAGTTTCTACACTCTCTCCATCCCGTTAAGATTGTCTCAATTTTCCTTTTCGGTCCGTCCCAATAAGAATGTCTCATACCAAATTTGATAAAATTGTGTGATTCTAAATCATTCTTACTTTATTTTTACTTTATAAATTCAATATCAAGCACATAAATTCAGTTTTCTTAATAATTGTGTTATCTCCTTTTGTCCTATTGTTAGTGGGACGGAGGTACTATAATGGTAGTTTGTAGGGAAAAGAAAAATGTTCATTGCATGAAACATTGCAAGTAAATTTAAAATAAAGGGTAAGGTGTAAGAATAAGTACTACTTCATAATGAAATACCATGAGCTCACAATTTAAGTGTCTCTTTGATGGCCCTCAGGAAGCTTTATAAAAAGGAACTACTCCGTATCATTTATGTTGGCACTGTACAAAAAATATCATATTACCTCGCCTAGTGGATATTACCAAGTTCAAATGAGGTGAGAAATAATAAAGTAAAAATTGTGTGGTTGAGATGTGTGCAGAAGCGAGAAAAATGAACAGAGCCGCAAATTAGTCTCTTTAACAAGGAAGTGACAAAATTGAAGTCCAATGGAACTTGGACTGATTTAGCAAGAGGATATCTATACGTCATCACTCACCTCACTACACCCTCGCACTATCGCACATCGATCTCTCGAGATCAGTCTGCTCCACACTTCATCATCCTTACTCAACTCACTGTCACACACTTTCATCCTCACACACACTCTCACTATAGATCTGGTTCGTATGTGCTGCGTTCAATACTTTCTGGCCATCTTCGTTTGCGGTTGATGTTCCAGCTCACAGCCAGGTATACCCTGTGGTCTCCCCATCAAGGTTCCAGAGACAATTCCTAAACCAGGGGAGTTTCTAACACATTGAGCAAAAACACGGGAGTTCCAATTAGGATACAAAAAAGCGGGATTCGGAAAGCCATTTTCCAAATGAGTTAGGGCGAGGTGGTGGGGTCAATTTGGAATGGGGTATTCCGAATGGAAAAGGGAGGAAATGGGAGGTGGGTCAATTTGGAATGCTATTTTCCAAATGAAAAAAAAAAGAATATTGGGAATGCGGGGTCAATTGCTAATTGTAATTTCCGAATGAAGAAAAACAAAATTAAAAATGCAACATTGAAAACAAAATTCAACACAAAATTAAAAATGATACATGCGTTTAATTTTTTTTATAAGAGTTGCGTTAAAAAAATATTACAAAAACAAATAAATTGTACGGGTTACAATAATACAGATTTAAATTGTACATATTAAAATTAGGGGTGGGAACGGTCCAGTCTGGTTCGGGGTTTTGTTAAACCCGGAAATTACCCGGAAAGTCTCGGGTTATGAAAATTAGGGACCGGAACAAAGCCCATTATATTTGGTCCGAGTCGGGTTTTTGGTAGCCCGGGTTCGGTCCGGGTTCGGGTTGGATCACTTAAAGCTCGAACTTGAAATATCTCATTGTTTTTTTATACTTTAACACCTATTTTCAAACAAAATTAATTAAAAATACAAATCGAAAATAATAACACAAATACAAGTCTCCAAAATCACCAACAATTCAAATCCAAAGAAGATAATTATCTTAATATTTTATTTAAGATGCATGTAAATAAATAATATAGGTTTCCTGAAAATTAATATTACGAAATAAAATATATAGATAAATGTGACTAGAGTTGATGTAAATATATTTAATGGTCATTACGCTAAACAAATTGAACATATTTTTAGTTACTAAAAGTTGCTAAATCATTTTTTATGCACCGTGACTATTATCATATATTAGGAAATATTTATAAATTTATATTCATATATTATACGGAGTATTAATTTTATATTATAGCTAGTTGTTTCGGATTTTTATTTGTCCGGACGGGGTTATATTTTAAGGTCCGTCTATGAGCCCGTAATTTTAGGTTCGTTCCGGTTTTTTTTTTTTAAATTTGGGTCGGTTAAAAAGAAAAAATCCGCCCCGGGATCATAATTCGGGGCAATCCAGGGTCGGTTTTTCCCACCCCTAATTAAAATAGTTACTCATACATATCAAATTTAATTTCTATAGATAAAATAAAAATTAAAAAAGTTAGATTTGGAAGTGCATCATCCGAATGGTGCATCAAAAAATTAAAAAACCTCTATTTGGAACACCATGTTCCGAATACTTAAAAAATACATAAAATAAATTAATAAATTTGGAATGTTGCTTTCCGAATGCCTGCTAAACCTACTCTCTTGTAACCCTAAATCTATTCGGAACATCATCATCCGAAATTCGTTTTCTTAGAAACCCTACAATTTTCCCGTGTTTTTGCACTACATGCTGACTTTTCCCGTGTTTTGGGAAAACACCCAAGGTTCCACTCGTCCTCTTTCATTTAATATCTGTGAATATACGAATTCAAGTACATTGTTCATTGTTAAATTTTATTTGATGTATATTTTATATGTCGTCTATTTCGGTCACACAACTATTTCTTTTCACTATATATTTAACAAAGATATACATTCCACACCCGAATTATTACTACTATTTTAATTAAAATAGAATATCATATTCATTATATCAGCTATTTCACGACCTAAAGATGTACTATTTCACTACGGAATAAAGCATTGGGAGTATCCCCTATAAATTGTCTTTATTTGAACCTAAAGTTTACAATCCTCTCTACTCTCTAGAAGTAATATATTTTGAAACACGAAAAACCCTTTGTTAGAATTGGATATACCCATTCATAGCATTTCTTTGTTTCTATTTACTTGTTATCTTATTTTCTTTGATAATGTTTAAGACTCAAGTTTTCTTTGATTAAACACAGTGAGTTTTTTTATAATTTAGTTCTTTTGTTTTTAACAATTATTTTACACTGAAGCACAGTATGAATGGGTTTATACATCAATGTTTCAAATAATGGTAATCATATTATTCCAGTTATTAAAAGTAATAAACAAACCTTTGGTCATGTTCAATTAGATACTACCTCTGTTCTACTAAGATTGAGACAAGAGAATGTGACACGGTTATTAAGAAACGTGGGTTTGTGTGGTTGATATTAAATTGATAAAATAATAACAAAGTAAGAATGATTTAGAACCACACAAACTTTACCAAATTTGGTATGAGACATTCTTAGTGGGGCTTGCCAAAAAGGTAAAATGGGACAATCTTAGCGGGACGGAGGGAGTATTTGTTATTAATCCTTGTTCTTTATCTACTGT